GAAGTTTTTTAAAGATAAATCAAGAACTACCGGGTACTATATTTGTACGCTATAAATAAGATCTTAGAGTTTCCTTGCAGTACTAATCTGGTAGTGACTGTGGCAGAAGGTATTACCACCTTTGGAAACATATTAAGTAAGTGGTATACTGCAGAATAACAACCAGATATTCGATAAATCTGGCTGTGTCAATCGGTACCAATATATGAAGAGCTATGTACACCAACTTAGGAGCTCTAAAAAAAGCAAAGAAAAACTTGTATAAAGCAAGCTATTCAAGAAAACCAAAATTTTGCGAAGAAATTTTGGAAAAAAATTGATATTGGTCTAATCTCAAATGCAGATCATCAACAGTCACACAGATACATAATACAAACAAACACGTCTAGAATAGGCCAAAACAAAATAAAAGTGCACGTGCAAAGCAAAGCAACAACAACAAAGTCACGTATAAAGAACAAATAGAATTGTCAATAGAATCTTCCAGAAAATTAGATTAGATTATCAAACAATATAAGCAAAGATAGATTATCAACAAAATTAATAAATAACACAGTATGGCAAAGATGATTCTTTATGACTTCATAGAAAGTAGATGTGTAGCGGTATCAAAATATATAATGGATATACAACTAGAAAAACTCACTAAGGAAGTTTCAGTTAGTGCACCAAATAATATAGAATATATAGCAAGAAGTTTAACAATAAAAGATTTAGACAAGATCACAAACTCGGAATTAATTGCATATGGAAGATTTTGCACAGCATTAAGCAAAGCTGAATGCAGAAGAATAGAAGAAGGCCAAATAGAAAAGTAGGCAATTAAGGCCAGATGGGTAAGCCAAAACCTGAAGTCAATTGAATATATGGCTGAATTGAGCAAAGAAGAAATCAAAAAGAGAAGCAACAAAATGGAAGAAATTATGAAAACAGAAGAAGAAGAAGACATGCAAATAGGAGAGTTGAGAAAAAGAAGACAAGAAGAAGAACCAGAAAAAAAGATAGAATCGAAAGAAAGAAATATAAAAGAATCAATTCAACAAACCAAAAGTGAGAGAGAGGGAGACGAACCAGAAGAAAGTATAGTAATCTCAGGCCCAGATGCAAGCTCATATGACTGGCTTAAAGAGAAAGAAATTGAAGTGAAAAAAACCAAAAAAGATAAAGAAGCACCAATAGAAAGAATTGCGAGAGATGAGATTAAAAGCATTAGAAAAGAAATACAAGAAATCAGAAAAAGAGACCAACAAGACTCGATAGCAGAGATAGCATGCGATCCAATAGAATGCAGCATGTGGTCACCAAATAACAGAACATGCGAAGGTGATAAATCATTTGTGGCAAAAGCACATGCATGCAAAGTACCAGGAAATACGCCTGAGGAAAGAGTTGCAAATTTAGAAGGTATCTTAAGTAAAGACAAATATATGAAATCAATACAAGAGGTATTCAGAAATAGAAATAGTTGGATAGAAGTAGAATTCGATTGCGAATATAGCAGAACAAATGCGATCAAAAAAATTGAGAAAAAAGAAGGAGACTGGCTTCGGCTCATTCCAGACTTGGACAACGAAGAACAAAAATCTGGCCGGAGAAGCAGAGAGAAGAATTATGAAAAAGAGAGAAGCAGGTGACAAGGAGAAGAACCGCAAGCTTTCAAAAGAAGAGACATTTATAAAGAAACGGAAAGAAAAGAAAAACAATATGAAGAAGGCAGAACAGAACGCATCAGATATATTACTATCTGAGATCTACCAAAATCAACTAGTACAAAAGAAGTTCAGTATATGTGCAAAAAGTTTGGTAGATTGAAAAACATCAAAATTAAAAGAACAGAATTCAGAATGGTAGCAGAGGTTGAGCTAGGGTTTAATGTAAAGGATTACAAGCTGCCTTGAGTTCTACCATTAGAAAATAGAAGGTTAGTGCGAGTTTCTAAAGGTAAAGAAAATAGAGAAGAAATAAGCAGCCACTTCAAGCACACCATAAAGCTAGAAGGCATTCTAGAAGAAGCTTCAGAAACATTATTACTAGGCTGTATGAAAGAAAGAGGAGCAAAGGCAGTATATATTCTAAGGAAAAAAATGGCCGAATGAAGCAAGCAGTGATCATCACTTTTAAAAATGAGTCTGAATTAGAAAAAGCAATTAGTAAGCCAGTTAGGTATAATAACTAGATACTAAATTAGGAACAGAAACGCAGATATGACAACTGCTCACGAAGCCCAGAAAGAAACGTATGGAGAGGAAGATCTTGACAACCAAAAGCAGCCTTTACAAAAGGAAAATGGAGAGAAACTTCATATGACAAGAAGGAAGAAAATGCAGAAAAGCAAGAAAGAGACAATTCAAGTACAAAAGAAAAACACAAAGAGGATAAGAGAAATCAAAGCCAAAACAACCGAAAAGTAGACTCCAGCATTATAAATAGAATTGATGAGCATCAAATAATACTTAAAGAAATATTAAGAAGATTAGATAGTATGAGCAATGAGCAGGCAGTGCCTGCTCAACGCTCCTAAAAGGTGCCCTAGTTGAATCTTGGAAAACTGATCAGAAGACTGGCCTCTTTTGCAAAAGCCTGCAGAATAGAGACAACAATAGGAAAAAAGAAGTCTTCGATCAGCAAGTAAACACACATGAAAGAAAGGAGAAAGGAAATATAACAAGCAAAAACAAGATCCAAAACTTTGATATGCTAAAGATTAGATTCTACAATATTAATGGCATCAAAACATGCAAAAACAGGATAGAATCAACTATAGATTTTATGAAAGATAAGAGTATTAATATTTTAGGAATAGCAGAAACAAACCTATCCGAGAAGGAAGGAAGATTTCTAATTAAAAAGCAAGAGTACTATACCACATATTGGTCAGCAGCAGAAGAACAAAAGAAAAAAGGATCAGGAGTCGGCATCCTGATTGACAAACAATGGGAAAAACATGTAGCAAAGGTATCCAGAGAGAGCCCATACAGTATCGACATAGAACTAGACTTCAGAGGAATCACAATCAATATCATAGTAGTATATGTAGCACCAAATGATCAGGAGGTGCATAAACAGATAAAGACGTATATAAAGAAAAGAATAAACACAAGCAACAGAAAGAAGCAACAGAGATTTGTAATAATAGAAGACTTTAATACGAGTCTTAGCAATGTTGTAGTGAACCAAGCATCAAGCAAAAAGAAAAATACAAAAGAAAAAATCATAGAGGAGATAGAATTAAAAGGTTTGGTAGATGCATAGAGAGAAACAAATCCAGAAGAGGAAGTAGCGACATGGAGCAATCAGAAGTCAAGATCCAGAATAGATACAATATGGGTTGACAAACTCTGGGCAAGAAACATAATGCAAAAAAAGATAGTAGATATGTCGTTAATAACAGAAAGCGATCACAAAGCAGTAGTACTCAAACTAGAAACAGGAATAGACCTAAGAGTAAGAAATCAAGCAAGAATGAGACATCT